CGAACTATCATAGTGTAGTTGAAATAGTAGTGATTCCATTATATTTGAGTCTGGCATTGCAACTACCCCATCAGTTATGACTAGAATATCTGAAATAAAAAACTTACTAAATAAAATAACACAATTATAACAATGAACTCACGGCTTATGCTATTCTCTGGTAGGAGAGATATAGCTAGCATTGAATAGCGTAACATATTTACAAAATTAACATCAGGTGTAACCATTGGTATTCTGGAATACATCTTTCCTGACTCTGGCAAGTCGAATAAATCACCAACTAGCCCTTCATTCTGAGTCTAAAAAGTAATAAAGACTTATTAATGCATGTATTTTATTGATATCTCGAAAAGTACCCGTTGAAAATCCAACTGATCCAGTGCTGCAGCAGAAACATCAGCTATTCTCTCCTCCAGTAAGTGAAATTGTTTCTCAACATATTTGACAATTTCCTTCAAATTACTCTGAGATATTCTCACACCTTTAACCAAGACTTGCTGAGCAGGACTTAAAAAAAAAGGTGTATTGACAATAACTGTCAAATATATAAATGGCTCAAATACAAAAGGATTTCCTGGTACTCTGAACTAGAAATTCAAACTCATTATGACTCATAAATTTGGTTTATTTTAAAATCTTACTTCTCTACAGAGAGCTTCAACAGTTATCTTGAAGCAATTTAGTATTTCATCAAAAAGGATTTCCCCTTTCTCTGTATCGACATTGGCATGTGAAGGGCTCATATCTAAGCAAAATACAAAGCGATAACTTTGTGCTAAGAATTTCACCTCTGTACGATATGTTACTAAATATCTATTGCATTTTGGATTTGAATTTTGTTCTCTCGGTATTGCCGCTATCACTTCTAAGTTGTTAGATGTCTCAGTCTGAAAAAAAAAGTCATTACTGATATTGAGCTAGTTTTATCAGAGATGTTTATTGGAATTAATTTTCTGTCAAGTTCTCTATCTCTAATCATTGTGTGAATGAACCCTTCTTATGTAGGCTTAGAATTTTTGATACATCTGACATCCGGAAATACTGAAAACTTTACAGGTTTGAAAGTTAAGTGTGTGCATTTCCTATGCACAGGATGCAATAGGATGATCTTGGATCAAATGGTCCCAAAATTACCAGTATAAAAGTATATAACCACATCCCATGAAAATTGAATAATTCAAACATCAGTGAACTTAAAAGAGAATGTTTTTATTAATTCAAAATATTTTTACGTGAATATTTGTTTTTCCAACCATTAAATTTTGCAAAAATTCAAATTACTCTTGTCTGCTAACTATAAATCTTTAAGTGGAACTCAAAACTTGGCACTCCGGTATACTTTCAGTTAGAAGAAAACACAATGTTGAGTATTGATGAAAGCGGACCGTGTTCCTTCAATTTCACTGAATCAATCACTGTACTTTATTGTCTAAGAAAGTACATCTTATTGAAATGCAATACTCGTGCAAATAACTTATTTTTTGCAAGAGTTATTTTCAAAAAGCGAACAAAAAAATTCAATTTCAACACCCCGTATCTTTGAAACGAATAATTTTCGGACACAAGTTCATATAGACTTTTTTTCTTAAAATTGTTTCAGGAATACGCCACTTGAATATTTTAACGTACTCATGTTACACCCTGTATATTCTAGAATTGTGTACAGTTGCTTGTATAGAAAAGTAGTACACTTAATTCCAGCAGAGTAAACATGACTTGCTTAAATTGATAACTGCCAAATTTCTTTTGTACCTCTTTAACGTTTTTTAAAAAGCCAAAGGCAATTTTAAAGATCAGATTAACAAAACACAATTTACTGTACTGAAATAACAACGTTTTCATTTCCTAAACTTGTACCTACTAATTTTCTATGCAAGTAACTGTATTATTCCATATCCAAAATAGAGCAGTCCTTGGAATGTCATTCGATTTCTGTCAAGAGTTATGAATGTTTTTGATAGCAAACATATTCTGATGTGTTGAACGTTGATGAAATGTTGCTAATAATTGAAGAATCGATTCTATAACAAAAGAACAATTTCGTAATCTTTTTATGTTCTGTGATATGGTCCCACGGGAACATGGTTATAGATATACATATAAGGAAAAAATACCTTATGACATTCCTCTTTAAATTGCGCCAGGGTCTGTCGGATGATTAAATGAAGGCCACCAGCCTAGCAATTTCTAAAGTAAGACAGTCTTTGGTGCAAAGATTTGTTCCATCGAATATTGGCTTTGCAGTCATCGATAGGGAATTATATATTGGAAGGCATGTGGGTGAGTTTGCCAATGTTTTATATAACCCGACCCCAGACAACCTGAAGACCATCATTCACATCGACGGTTCATATGCTTCTATAAATAAAAATTGTAATTTAAGGATACTGCGCCAATCTTTCTGCCGATACAAGGGACATCATCTGGTGAAAACAGTGTTGATTGTAGCCCTGGATGAATATATTCTGAGTATTCAAGGACCCTATTTCTCAGACGCTCGCAACAATGACGCAATAATTTGGAGAATCAGTTTGAAAGAAACTTAGACGACATGAGGAGATGGTTTAATGAAGGTGCCATTTTTGTTGTGGATCGGAGTTATCGAGATGCCATACCCTTACTGGGTAAGGGTATGGCAAGTTAGGTAAGTATTGTATGCCATACCTTGGCATACAGTATGATATTGCCGCGATTGTTCCGCAACAGCTTTCCACTGAGGAAGCGAATAACTCTTGATTAGTGACGAAAACTAGGTGGATAGTGGAAGCAAGAAATGGACATTTGAAAAGTATTTCTCAATTTTTTGCTAAAACAATTTAAATGCCACGTGTCCACAATCTTGGCAATCTATATCAAATCGCTGGTGCACTCATCAACCCAGTCACAATGAGAGGTGCCAATGCTCAGCTGGCACAAGAATTGCTACGAAAATCACAGGAGGTAAATGTCATCCAGGCTTGAGTGGAAGTGGACAATCTTCATCTGAGAAATGGTCAGTGGGTCCGTATGAATGGAAACCTGATTCCAAATTTTCCCCGCCCTACAATAGATTATCTATCTAAGAGATTTTACCGTAGGTATATACCAGGTTGAACTATCAGCTTCGTGTACACAGGATACATTACAGAGGGAAGAAAATGAAGAGTTTCAGGACGATATTTTCAAAGAGGAAATATGATGATGGAGAAGCACCTGATGAACCAAACGAGCATATATTAAGATATTATTGTACTTGTAAAACCGTTGCCAGGACTTTAGGAACATGTACATGTACTGGTATATTGCCAGTATTTTGTGGTATCTTGGTCACACTCGACATGACCCCAATAATCGATACTCCTCAAGTTCCCTACTAAACTCAATAATGGACGTGGCAAATAGACCAAAACAAATGGTTCCTGATGGTTAAGTTATTGTTTTCATCCTGTATTTTTACAAAACATCGGGTGGAGACGAGGTGGTCCTGGTACTTAATAGAATTTCTAAATATATAAATTATGTCCATATTTGTCCAGATGTTAATGGAGTTAGTTTATGCTCCCATTCGAAGTCAATTTTTAAAGTGAAAAGTTAACAGTTTTTCTTAGAATTGATACCAAATTGCAGCAAAAGTGATCATCTATCTAACTGTAACAATAGATTTTTCTAAAAATCACGTGTTGAATGGCAATTTGTAATTAATCCAATTATTATTAGTGGACAAAGTGTTTGTGACAAAAAACCTTACAAAGTTTTTTCTCTTTTTGTTTGTTTTTTGGTTCCAATAAATACCCTGTTAGTTGTATGGGGTGGATCAATTAATCTCATCGAATAAATTCATCATTAGGATGGATTGCGTGATATGTCAAAAGAAAATCACTACCGAGGAATTCTGTGAATGTGATGGCTGCAGACTAAAAATACATTTCTCATGTGGTGGCCTTACGGCATCTGAAGTAAAATGCATGCAATTGAAGAATAAAAGAGTACTAAAATATTTCTGTACAATATGTCAAGAAGGTCTGAGACTTCTCCCGGCCATGAAAAATCAAATAGAAACACTTGAACAAAATTTCAGAAAACTTCAAGAAAGCCTGGAAAAACTCCTGACCTCCATGCCAACTACGCAAAATGTCAGCAATAACAAAAACATATTAAACTTTGATTTAGTTAATGAAGCAGAGGAATGAAAACAAAGGGCCAACAATCTCATGCTTTATAATTTGCTGGTCCTGATCCGGGTGGAATACCAAATATTTTATTGAGAAACTGCAATTTACATCTATACTGACTTTTCCAAAGCATTTGACACAGTGAATCAGTTAATTTTATGTGAGAAATTGAAAGCAATTGGATTTTGTGGAAAACTATTGGAATGGCAGATAAGCTATATTAGTAACAGATCTCAATATGTAAAAGTCAAGGAATTCATATCTCACGAAATTAATGTTTTATCAGGTGTACCACAAGGAAGCCATCTGGGGCTGTTTCTTTTCAATATTTTTATTAATGATATCAGAGTTAACTTAAAATATACTGATATGCAATTGTAAAATCTTTAATGATGAATAAATTCTATTTCTATTCTATTCATCTTACTTTTTGCAGATGATTTAAAAATGTTTAAGGGAATTCAAACACCAGATGATTGCTTAGTATTACAAACAGGTTTACTGAATGGTGTTCATAAAATGAAATGAATCTTAACGTGAATAAATGTAAATGTATGACGTACTATCGAGTACCTACACCTGTAAACTATGATTACTACATATCAGGAGAACTTTTAACATGTGTCAAATTTGTAACTGATTTAGGAGTAGTGATGAATAAAAAACTGGACTTTCATTAACATTATAATTATATTATAAACTATAAACAAAGCAACAAAAATGCTAGGCTTCATTTGTTGTACTTCCAAGGACTTCTCTAATATTGAATGTATAAAAATGCTGTATTCACCCTGGTAAGATCAGTCTTAGATTGTTGCAGTTCCATTTGGTCACCCACCTATGAAAGTCCTGCACTTAACATCGAACGGGTACAAAACAAATTTCTTTAATTTTTGGCGTTCAAGTTAAAAATGCCCTTGAAGGACCATTTAATAGACGATATTTGTAGGGTTGCAGATATAATGAAGCTAAGTAGTCGTAGAGTGGAAACTGATTTAAAACTCTTATTCCAATTATTAAATTCTCTTATTAACTGCCCTGCATTGCTAGCACAAATTGGCTTACATGTTCCTTCTAGAAGTACAAGGAATACAGAAACATTTGCAATAGATTTTCATCGTTGTAACTATGGTAGACATTCTCCCCTGTCTAGAGTTGATATTGGTGGTAATATAGTCGATCTGGACTTCTTTTCATTGAACGAAACAAAATTTAAGTTTGCATTACGCTCGCTCAGAAATAAATTATAAATCATTCATTTATTTAATTAATATTTCAATTCAGTAAATTTATTTTTTCGTCGTTATTCTTTATTAATAAATTAGTTTTACTTTTAGTCCGACAATAATATAAAAACAATCCTTAAAAACCATCGGATACTTCAATTTTGACAACTGAAGCGCCCTTTCTGAGAAGAATTTTAATTCAGGAAAGTATCGATCTATTTTTTGTGTTATAAAAAAATTAAAATTTTATTTTCAATTCCAAACAGTTTTCACAGTTCATTGGAAATAATTAACTTCTTGAAATAAAACTATTTCAAAACTCAGACATATACGTGTTCCCAATTCTGCCAAAGAGTGCACATACTCTTTGATTCTGCTGCGCTACCAACAAAATATCGTTGTGAGCATACGCATTTGTGTTTTACTGAATTTACTGCTTTTGAAAAGGTCCAGTTAGTTAGTAGAGTGACAGATTCACAGTATTCCGTAACAATACTACAGAATATCGTA